GTATAAGTATGAAGCTTCGGCCTGTGCTTGGACCCATTGGCGGATCCAGAAACTTCTATTATTGGGGGCACATTTAAGAGTGTCAAAAAAATCTGAAACCAAATTACTCATTCGAACCAATACGATTTCGGGTTATTTGGTTTCCAGATTAAACGGTTCAGTTATCRAATAAATATAACTTATTCAGTTTAATTTTCAATTAATTTTTGACTATTTTGGATAAACCGAGACATCATATTGTCATGTACATATTTTACTTTTCGGTTAAACCAAAGCAAATGAACACACTACATATCAAGTGAACAACATTTTCTTATCAATTATGAAATTGATAAGAAATTGTTCGCTAATTACACAACATTTTCTTATCAATTACGAAATTGTTTCACTTTCTTCATGCACCCATTTCATCAGCCAATTTCTTCCAATACGAAAACGTTTTATAGAGTCAATGCATTTACCATTACATGTTTTGTTAACGATAAAGTGAACAAAATCATCCAAAATAAAAATAAAACAAAATGAAATAATTTCATCAAATATTGTTGATAAGAAAACAAGATTATGCAAGAATGTTATATTACGCAACCAGTTCATCCCCAAAAGTTTCATAAAACAAGCTCCTCAATGAACGTTTTCACGAACCAATCTGCATACGTTTCATAAAACAAGCTCCTCAATGAACGTTTTAATAAACAAATCTAACATGAATCTGTTTCACAGCTGATTATATTTTTACCGGTTCATGAATCTTTGTTTGGTTCTGTTACTGATTTCGTGGATTAATGAATATTATAATTTTCGATTTTCATATTATTACCACTAATAAACCGAGAAACCAAATAACAATATTCAATTTTTAAAATTCTAATTTAAATAAACATTTAAATATTACCATTTATAAAATTTACTTTATTATGTTACTTTAATTAAGATTTATTAATAACTTCCATATTTAATAGAAAACAATGTAAATAACAAATCTACCCTTAATAATTAAATTTAATTAAGAAAAAAATGATTTTTTTTATTATACAATCTTTTACATTTGTACAACCAATACAACACAATCTCAACCGTCCATTTAATTTGATGAATATGTAATTTCATATAAGTTTTGATTGTTTCCAAATATAAAGTATTGATCATAATTAATGAACTTTATTAATCTTCCATAAATAATTAAATCATAATAATAAACTCTCATCATTTTCATAAATATTTCAATTTATTAAATTACATTATTATATAAATATAATAATTTGCATTTGAAACAAACAAACACTCTCTCTCTCTATATATGATTTTAACAGAATTGGTTGGAAATGGTATTATACCATTTATGTGAACCTTTTAAAAGTTGGAATAAAGTAATGATTAGGTCCCGATGGTTTTAGGTTTGTTTTCCTTTTGATCCCTACAGTTCTTTTTGTTTCAAAAAGAACCTTCATGGTATTATATTTTGACTGGTATTAATCCTTTTTACTAACACTGTTAAAAAGAATCCGTTAAATGAATACATTTTTATCTGTTACCAAAAGAATTTCGTTTTCTACGTGTTTTATTAAATTAATTTGGTCTTTTTGTGATTATTGTACCCACCACCCCTACCTCACTTCCCCATCTCCTAAGTGCTACTTGTCGACCCCCTTCACTCTTGCAACCAACGACCATTGACACCACCAACCGTCGATTGCCTTATCTCTTCCACAAACAACTAGTTGTGTACCCGTGCAATGCGGTAAGAGTCGTGAATTTTAATGATTTTGAAGTTTCATTGGTTTTATTAGAGAAGATTTAACGATAATATAAGTTACACTTGGTTTTTACATAATAATACAATTTGAATAAATAAGAGTTATGGTTCCAATCACACTCTATCAATGAAAAAAATTGTATGACAGTTTAAAATCCAATATATTTAAAATCCAATATATTTAAAATCCAACATATTTAAACGACTCCACAAATGTGTTCGATTTACATCAAGAGCAAAGAATCAAGAGATCGAGAGCGAGACTGAGAGTTCTAGAGCAATTGAATAAGAGATGAATGGAAGAACTTTTAATAACTCATGGTGAATATCAGTTTGAATCTCACATTGGGGGATGGGGATAAGACATAGAGGTATGCGAGGATGAAGACATGAGTGAAAGGTGTCAAAAGTATCTTGGGAACATGAAAAGAAAAGGTAATAATGTGCATTGGTAACTTGTACTATATGTTATTTTAATTGTATATTAAAAGATTTTAAGATGAAATGCATAAAGTAGTAGTAATTAATGCATTATGGATTGTTTTTAAAACTTTGTGCATAAATGTATAGTACTTTATGCATTAAAAATTGTTTTTAAGACTTTTGATAAATTTGGTTTATAAGGTACTATAAATACTTCATTTTTTAATAACTTCCTGTCCCCCCATATATACCTCCGTCTCCTTCCCCTATATATTCAAGATACATATAAACATAATCAAATTAAAACTTTATATCTTGTGATAACCACAAAATCTTTTACCAAGGATGGCCCTCGGAAAGGGAGGGGGGTTAGTGTGGGGGGATGGGAATGGACTTAAATATTTTATTTTATATAATCTAAAATAATTATATATAATATCTTTTTATTATTTAAACAATAAAAAGGGGAAAAGATTGAAGCAAAATGGCCTTCGTTTGACATATTATTTTTATTTACGACTTAATTAGGCTTATTGATTTATCGGGTTTATTCGCACAGTTCATTTAGGTTGTTTACTTATGGTTTATTCGTACAGAACATGGCTTAATCGCACAGATAGAAATGGTGTATTGTCCTCATTCAGCCACATAAATGACACCCCTACCCCCTTATTTAAAGCACCGCCTCCTTCCCATATGAGACATCCCATTTTATGATTTTTTTTTGTTTTGATGTTCAAATAATTAATATTGGGGGTAAATCGGTCATTTATGTTATTTAGACTGTTGGTTCAGATGAAAAAAAATAAACAACACCTTATCCTGATAAACAAATTTATGCATACAGGGCTTAGCGGATAAATGGGCTTATTCGCACAGACTTTTTAGGGTGTTTACTTCGGGCTTAATCGCTCAGAAATAGGCTTATTCGCCCAGATGAAAGAAGGAGGTTGTCCAGTTTAAGCCGGCCAAAAGACTGCCCTACCCTTCCTTATCTTATCGTGCGTCTCCAAGAAACACCCTGCCTCTTCTCCTCCATCGATCGACAACCCTAATCGCACATCTCTTCTCCATCGATCCAAGCCCTTTTCTCCTCCATCGATCGACCGATTGATAGTCTTCTCCATCGCTCACGGCCCTCTTCTCCTCCATCGATCGACAGGTTCTTCTCCATTGCTTACGATCCTCTTCTCCATCGATTGACAGGTTCTTCTCCATCACTCACGACCCTCTTCTCCATCGATTGACAGGTTCTTCTCCATCACTCACGACCCTCTTCTCCATCAATTGACAGGTTCTTCTCCTCTTTATCTATAGATTATTTGCTTTTAGAAAAACCCTAGCTGCTCGATTGGTGCTCGATTGTTGCTGATTTTCTGCAACTATGTGCTCGATTTTTACTTCTCCTCTTTATCTCCAATTRTTGCTATATTGCTGCTGATTTTCTGCTACTATGTGCTCGATTTTTACTTCTCCTCTTTATCTTCAATTTTTGCTATATTGCTGCTCTAGTATATGCTCTATTGCTGTTGATTTGCTTTTAGAAAAACCCTACCTGGTCTATGTATGTGGTCGATATTGCTGCTGACCCTACCTGGTCTATGTATGTGGTCGATATTGCTGCTGATTTGCTACTAGTATGTTGATTTGTTCTTAAGTTTCTTGTATCAAATTACAAAGCTGGAATATGTATGTGGACAGTGCATTATGTTGTTTCTTGTCCTTAAAAAATGAACAACAGTTTACTAAACAGCCCATAGTTAATCCTCAGGGGTAAATTGGTCATTTCTGTTGTTCAGACTGTTGATTCAGATAGAAAAGTAAACAACAACATAAATTTATCCAGACAGCCAAACTTATCCAAACAGACAAATTTATCCATACATGACTTAATAGAAAATTTGGTAAATAGCTCCTTAATAAAAAAAAATTTAGTAAACAGCACCTAAAAGCGTTGTCAAGGAGAGAGAGACCAAAATCAAACGAAACTCTTAACTTTTCAAAAGGTTTTCGTTAGGAAAGGAATTACGAATCTTCCCCGTCACGCAATCACGCAACGAACTTCCATTGTTATAAAGCATAAACCCTAGAAACAGATTCATCATTCATATCCCCGAAATCAAAATGTCACCGCACATTGCTTTTGATATCCAATTCGAAATCATCAAAAGGATTCCGGTGAAATCATTGCTTCGATTCAGATCGGTCTGCAAAGCATGGAAGTCATTGATCGATTCCTCTGAGTTTATTGCTGGTTACAGCGTCCCCAACACTCAGCCTCAACATCTGCTTATGAAGTACGAAGTCGCAGATCGGCAAGTAACTGGGTTCAAATGTGTTTGCTTTGTTGATGATGACACTTTCCCCCGACAAACGTTTACTCCGACTGTGCCTCCGCTCCTTGAAGAACTTTATCTATCGAGAATAATCGAAAGCTCTCATGGCGTCTTGTGCTTTTACGGTTTTTATCATCCAAAGAAAGGCGATCTCTGGCCCAACTATCTGATAGATATGGCTCTTCTTTGGAATCCTTCAATTAGAAAATCGACTGCTGTTGTTGTCCCTAAAGTGATCAGTGCACACTTTTCAAGTGTTCTTGGCTTTGGGGTTTGTCCTAACACTTGTGACCCTATGCTTGTCTATGTTACATTTATTAGTACATGGTCGAATCCAAAGGTAATAAGCTGCATCCCTTGCCAAGTTCTGGTTTTTAAATTGAGCTCAGGGGAATGGGAATGTTTATCTGGTAATCTGCCTCGTAAATCAATTGGATTTACATGGTCTTCTGCAGTTATAGGTCAGTTTATTTATTGGTTTGCTTATGATAGGATTGATGAGAATGGCGGATTACGTAATCTGATTATGGCATTTGATATGGTTAGTGATGAGTTTATAGAGATAGCCCTCCCAGATAGTTTGGCTCACCTTCCGGATGATTTGGATCACCTTCCTGAATTAGCCTTTTCGATCTCCAAGCTAAGGGAGTCTCTTGTTGTGCTTGAATACACAAAAAATACAAGCAAGCATCAAGTTTGTGGTGTATGGATGATGGAGCATGGTGATCCAAAATGGTTTACAAAATTGTACACCATTGAAGCACCATATGAAAGGATAGAGAGGACCCTGGGATTTAGCAAGAGTGGGAAACCTATAATAGAAAAGGACTTTGATTTTTTTGGTCATTTTGATTTGGAGGCTACACTTGCTGTATATGAACCTTGCACAGAGCAAATCAAGGATCTTGAGATTCACGTAACCGACAATTCTGTGTTTGTGAATTCTTATACGGAATCGCTGCTGCTCCTCCATGAGGAAGATGGTTTAATTTATTCTATGTAGATTGAGGACCAAGATGATGGCTGTATTGCAAAGTGTGGAGCTGTGAAGAGATGACATTTCGAACAGGCGAGCAAGGTATAGAGATTGAAGTGCAATTACCATTCAGATTAGCTTAGTTCATGCTTATGTTAGTGTTTAATTATGACATAACCTTTCAGGCTTTCATATACATGAAGAATTATTGTTGGTATTTATGGTTTGGAAATCTTTATATGCAACCTTGACTTCATCTTCCAATTTTCAGAAATTCTGCAATTCTTGCCTTATATCCTTGTATTCTCTTTACTTGACTAAAAATGGGAGATTAACTTTGTCCATTACATAATGTATGCTAACAAGAACAACATCCCTTTTGTTTCTGATTCAGGACTTGTCGTCCCAATTTGCCTTTTAGCTTCATCCAACGTCTTGTATAACTCGATCAAAAGTGGTCTGCTAGTAAGCTCAACATTTGTCCTGCTTTCCCGGAATCCCGGGTATGTTACATAACTCTTTGTTGGATTCATAGTTTGCAGAGGACATCTTCAAACATGTTGCTCGCAAACTGGTTTTCGTCGTGACTTATCAACACCATGGGATTTCTCAACTCAATGTTTGTGGAATTTCAATGGAAGACTTTTCTTTAAACCAAACTTGCGATTGGAATGGAATCAAATTCCAAATCCTACCAAATCCCGCTAACCAAACAGGCCTAAGTGCATGTTCAACCACAAACAAAAAATGTGGAAATAATGGGTTTAGCAACAAGTAGATGGCAATCTAAGCATAATAATCCAATATCAAGCAAATATAATAAAGGCAAGCAAAACAAGACTCCAAGATTTATGTAGAAGTAGTGTACATCAACACAAGAGAGAGAGAGAAATCAGTAAGGTGTCGTTTACTAAACGCTTACCAATAAGACTCATCACTCTCGATTACCTTACTGAATAAGATCTCGGCCATCAAAATGACATAGTAGACAATAATCTTACTTGGTGTCACCAACCGAGTAAAAGCCACCACCCTTGCTTATCAAGTAAGATTGTCGTTGTCATACCTTTTACCATGTAAGATTCTCGTTCTTGCTATACTCACATGATAAGGTAAGTGACCAGATAAGAGTTTACTTAATATTAACCAAATGTGGGAGTGATAAGTTACTTACAACGAGAGATTACAAACAGATGATACCAAATGTGCAAGAAAAAGACTTTTTTACCCTCATTTTCAAGAACGGGATATGTGCTTGTCTAAGCATGATTCTTTAGTATTGTATAATATTTCGTCAAGATCACTTTCGCTGTTTGAGATTTATGTTAAGCTTTCAGTATGAGTATTGCAGTGGTATTTAGCTTAATCTATTCAATGTTATTAAGTCAACTGCTTATTATATTGTTGATAGTTTTAACCATGAACTCAACGAGTTTTATAGTCGATATATGTGTAAATTTTAGGAGGCACACATAGGGGAATGCATGGCTTAGATCAATCCATGAGTGTTTTATCTCATATTACATTGGCATATTTACTTTGATGTGAGATGGATTAGTTTGTTTTGATGTTTCTTTCGCTTTATAAGATTAAATTTGTCGTACCGATTTAATTGAATGTAACGTCACAGTTTGAAGTTTATCTGATAATATTTCTTTATATTTGTATTTCTATAATGGCCCCTACGTGGGTATGAGTAAGGTGTTGCAAAACGTAATGGCACCATACCCCCACATCATTCATACCGTCTCTGACAACATGATCCATCTCTGATACTAAGGTTTTGAAGTACTTTAATCTCGAAATTTTTTTTGATAAACATGGACAGAGGGCGGTCTTTCTAAGGGGGTGGGGTGTATGGGTTACCACTTAATCGTCTCAATTCAATGCAAAAAAAAATAGGGGTCTTAAAGTTACATCCGCTTAAGTTTTAACAGTGATTTAGAGTGGTTTACAAAGCTATTCATCATCTCCCCCATTAGAGATTTTTAAATATATATGCTATAATAAAGAGGATTATGGGTTAGAGTTGAGTTTCGGTGAGAAGGGAAGTTATAGTAATAAGCATAAGAGAGATCTCCACCATTTGATCAATCCTAATTGAATGTTAAAACTAATGAGGTGTACCGAGATACACTAGATCAATTCCTTTCTATGATGTAATTCATGGGTGGGTATGAGATTAGATGTGATTAAGATTCAGATGTCTTTTTACGCTTCTAATCATAACTTCTTTCTCATACGATTCTTCGCCTTTTGGGTTATATATCTAAACGACCATCTTATTTCTATTGATTTCTAAAATGATTATGGAGGAGAGGAAGAAGTTTTTTATTCAGAGTATCCACAATGAAGGTTTTTATTGGGATTTTTACATGAACCTCCACCACTATGGATAGAGGTCCAGTAACAGGTTCTTATTAGAACCCAGGTATTTGTTGTATAAATTCTCTTTTTGTTATTATTTTATGTATTATTTTTATTATTATTATTTCTTAACCATTTTATTTTCTCTTAATAAATCTATAAAACATATAAGCTGAAATTGATAAAAAAAACTTATAAATTAATTACTTTAA